CATGCTTTTCTCTGAACTATGAGTTTCTTAAGTCTTTCTCTATTTTTCATGACCTTGACAGTTTTGAAGAGTACTAGTCAGCTATTTAATATTTCTTAGTTTAGGTTTGAAGAATGTTGTTCTCATGGTTAGACTGGGCTTATGAACTTTTGGAAATGTTACCAAAGAGGTGATGTGTCCTTCTCATCTCATCATATTAAGGGGTACATGATATCCACTTGACATCACACTGATGCTTCACCTTCATCATTTAGTTAAAAGGATGGATGTTTACAGATTTTTCCATGGAATTCTCTATGGTAGAGTAACCACTACTCAGAATCGGACACTTTAATAAAATACAAGATACATCACTGCCACAGTAAAGAGTTGTGCTGTTAGTGAAACAAAATGATGGAGCTGTACACTGTCTGACAATTAATTTGTGAACTTGCGACCATGCACTTACATTGGCAGCACTGTACAAACAGCTTGGTAAGGTGTCATAACCTTGGTATATCAGTGTATCACAGCTGTGTTGGTGTTGACATGTGACGGTGTCTTGCTGAGTTGCGTTCATTATTGTTGTGTGTTTCTGTTTGCCGTTGCAAGAATGTCTGAGCTTGAATTAGAGTAATGAACAAACGATAAATTTCTTGTTGAACTTGGCAAGAGTGGAAGTGAAATCAAGTTTAAGTGGAAGTCCAAGTTTAAGGGGATAATGCCATGAAGCAAACAGCAGTGTACAAATGGATTAAACGTTTTTCTGAGGGGAGAGAACGCGACACTGATGAAGAGAGGTCAGGGAAGCCAGTAATGAACAGAACTGACAGAAACATTGCAAAACTTCATCAAATTGTGCGTCAAAACAGTTGACTGACTGCGAGAAGCATAGCAGACCAAATAAACATTGATTAAAAAACATTTAGGAAAATCTTAATGGAAAATCTTGGCATGAGAAAGGTGTGTACAAAAATGGTCCCAAAGGAGCTCACTGATGAACAAAAGCAAAGGAGAGTCGAAGTTTGCCAACACCTTTTAGAGAGGCAAAAGGATGTTTTGGGCTTGGTTGTCATTGGTGATGAAACATGGGTGTACCAATACGACCCTGAAGTAAAGCTTCAAAGTACACAATAGAAGTCAGCCAAAAAAGTCCACAACCAAAAAATTGCTTCATTCCAAATCAAGAGTCAAAGCAATGTTGCTGAATTTTTTTGATATCAGAGAAATTATTCATTATGAATTTGTACCAACTGGACAAACAGTTAACCAAGTTTACTATTTGGAAGTCCTGAAAAGGCTGTGTGAAAAAGATGAAAATTACCTGAACTTTTCATCAACAATTAATGGCTCTTGCATCACGACAATGTACCAGCTCACACAGCACTGTCTGTGAGGGAGTTTTTAGCCAATAAACAAATAGCTGTATTGGAACACCCTCCCTACTCACCTTATCTGGCCCCTAATGACTTCTTTCTTTACCCAAAGATAAAGGAAATATTGAAAGGAAGACATTTTGGTGACATTCAGGACATCAAGGGTAATACGACAGTTCTGATGGCCATTCCAGAAAAAGAGTTCCAAAATTGCTTTGAAGGGCGGACTAGGCTTTGAGGTCAGTGCATAGCTTCCCAAAGGGAGTGCTTTGAAGGTGGCCCTAGTAATATTTAGCAATGAGGTAGGTATGTAGCAGTTTTTCTATGATGAGTTCACAAACTTAATTGTCAGACTTGGTATGGCCATTCTGCTGTTTGCATTTTAGTTTTGTTTTTTTGTTTGTTTGTTGTTTTAGCTGAGCCATCCCGCCACCTGTTGGCAGCTCCGCGGCTGCTCAGCTCGGGCTGACTCGAACCACTGTTGCTCAGAGCTCAAACTCTTGAGCGAGCTCTTAACCAACTGAGCCACTCAGCCGGCCCTTGTTTGCATTTTAGAATAAGTAAACCTGAACCATTCAACTAAGGGAATAACAAACAGATTTTTAAAAATCGCTCCTCTATGGAAGTTTTTAAATAGATATCACAAAGCATTTGTATCATAGCATAATGGTTAAAGGCCATTTTCTCTGGATTTGAGAACCAGACTCAGTATTCTGTGACCTTAGGGAAGTTATTTAACCTCTCTGCACCTCAGTTTCTTTATCTGTAACCTTAAAGTCCCATAAAGATAACAGTATCTACTTCACAGGGATGTTTGAAAGATTGAATGAGTCAATATTTGTAAAACTCTTAGAATACCACCTGGAATTTAGCACAAAATAAATGTGCTGCACCTTGGGGTATGTGTGTAGGGAGCCGGAGGCTTGCAGTAAGGGTTAAGCCTCAGAGCCGGAGGTCTGCAGTAAGGGTTAAGTCTGAAAGCTGGCAGGCTGACAGGCTCTCAGGCCCAGATGAGCAGCATGGGAAGTTTGGCTGCTGAGGAGAAAACAGTCAAGGGCCTTGAAAGCTACAGAGTGGAAGGCCATCCTATTAACAGTTTCTGCTTGTTATGTTTTGCTTTAACCTTGGGAAGATTGCTTCCCTACACCTTATGGAATGTCCCGGGGGAGGTGTTCCCTGGGAGGAGGGTACTATTCCCTCAAGTTCCCAAAACCCCCCTACCTAAGGCAAGTTACTTTTGCTATAAAAGCTGTATACAAATAATAAACAAGGCCACTCTCTGCCATCAGCATTGGGTGGACCTCCTGCCCCCAGCTTTCGTCTCTAGTCTCTTTCTTTTCCAGTCTCCCACCCAGTCCTCTCAGGTACCCTTTCGGTGGGTTCCTGGCTGACGAGTCAGGAGTGCTCGTTTGATGTGCGGGTCACATCATATGTGCAGAAGTTAAGTAACTTGCTCATGATCTGTGGAAGTAAATAAAGGAAGTGGTCTGTTTCATATTTATGCAGAATTTTGTGAGCTCTTTATAATTTGTCAACTACCATGTTTGTTGAAGAAAAAAATAAAAACAAATTTTCAGTGACCTGTTAAAGTTCGTTCTATAAACAATAGTTAAGAGAGATTAGGAAAAAAAATATCTCTACATGCCTTTTTGACTTTTATAAACTTTATAAAATGAGCCTGTAATTTACAATTACAAAACAAAACAATACATCTTTCAAGTTTTAAAGAATAGCTTTTGTACTTCCTGGCCAGTTTCCCACTAAATCCCAGCAAATGATTGATGACAAGAGGAGTAGCTATGCAAACTCTCAACAACTCATGAATTAGTCACGTATTTTATAAGCTTTAGATTATATTTCATTTCTTACTAACACAAATGTTAATGTTCCTTTAATTTTCCTGGTTTTCTGTCAGGACCATACTGATAAAAACTAGAGTATTTTTAAAGACAGTCATTCATTTCGTTAATCGTTTCCAGTAAAGAAGATGGACAGTCTTTAATTCAAGCTCCCTTTTTTACAGATGAAGTGACTGAAACCAGTACTACAAAATAAAGCAATGACTGGTCTAAACAGTTAAAAAAGAAAAAAAAAAGCCCAGGTAAGTGCATCTCCTAGTATAGACTGATACAGAAAATTTTAAATGTGGAAAGAAAATCTGAGGCGTGAATTTTTCCATTACATTTTTTTTTCTTTATAGAAGGATTCACCTAGGTTGAGTTTCTGTTTAGGCAATGTTGGAAAGAGCTGTTTCCATTTTATTTATTTAACAAACGTTTAGAAGGCCCTTAATCTGGGCTGGCTCTCACAAATATTGACTCATTTCTCATAACTACATTGGGGTAGGCAAAGAAGTCTTTAACTTCTAGGTGACAGGTGGCAACTAAATGCTGGCAGCTTTGCTGTTCACCACGTGTCTGTCTATAGGGTGCAGGCTCTTACCCACTGAGCTTACCCACTTACGTCCCTATTTCTAGACACCCATCACTAGGCAAGAGGCCGTTCCTTTTTCCTCCCCCGCCTCCCATCCTATTCCAAGTTTCCAACGGGTCTGAATCCAACCTGGAGAATTACAGTTTAAACTCGCTATACCTAATGTTGAACCAATCAGTGTTTTACTATTTGAAAAAAGTAGTACAGACGTCAGGTTCAAAGACTGAAATTTCCCATCAGAAAACGCAAATACACCAATGTTTGTTTCTAGAGAAAGGGGGACCAACACTGGAGGTCCTGCAGAGAATGAAACGGTGTTTTATGAGGCATTTCATATTTCAAACGCACACAACCGGAGTTTAAGGGTGCTACACAGCAGGTCCCCCTACTCTAGTGTCCAAGCGCTGTTTTGTCCAAGGATAGACCCGAAGAGGTGACTCCCGGAAGCCTGGCTGATGAGCCCCTCCGCAGCTTCAGGGTGACCTCCAGTCCTGTGTTTCGTACACAAAATCTGAGCCCCTCATACATGAAAAAGGAAATCTCCCAGAAATTTTTGAAGTTCCAACATTACAGAGGGAAGAAGAAAGTTCAGCGGGATACAGAAGACGAGGTCGTGTTATACAGCCCCCAATTTTCATTGAAATTAACACTGGGTTCAACTTTTGACACCGATCCCTGTTACCACCAAATGGAAAATAAGACCAAGGTATTCTAAGTGTGATTTCAGAATATGCAACAAGGGAACAACAGGTCTAACATTCTCTGGAATCTGAGATGATGACGGTATTTTTAATAAAGCATTCATTTCAGGGGTATGAAATACGCAAAACTGAAATTTAGAGAGAGGCATAGAACACATATAAATAGAATATAGATAGACAGCTAAGTACAATTTACCCCTCACCCCTCCTTAATTCATTTCCCCAGGTCTATTCACTCTTTCCCTCTAAAGATGTGCCACCCTTGTCGGATGTCTCACGGATTCGCCCCCAGCGTTTTCCCCTCTCCCCGCCCCGCGCCCTGGGGTCGCTGGGCGCCCACGGTCCCCCCTCACAGGCGGTTGCTCGTGCCTGGCGGCGACTCACTCACCGCCTTTTGGGGATTTGGGCGGAAACAGAATATCCCCGAGTCAGCGGAGTCACGCGGCAGGCCAGGCTGGGCAGCACCGCGGGTCCTGCCCTGAACTACCCCCAACCGCGGCGCCGCGCCCTCCAGACCCGGGAACGTCCTGCAGGTCTGGGAATTTCCCGGGCCAGGGGGCTGCGAGCTTTCCGCTTCGACCATGGATAAAAGGGGTTCGCTCGTGTCGGGGAGCCACAGAGCCCTCTCCGCCAGCTCTCCCGCCAGCTCTCGTGCTCCAGGCACCGCCGACCCGAACCTCCGAGCTGAGCGCCATGGCCCGCACCGCTACCGCCGCCGCCCCCTGCGCCCCTCGGCTCCTCCGGGCCGCGCTGCTGCTCCTGCTCCTGGTCGCCGCCTGCCGGCGCGCAGAAGGTGAGACTTGGTGCTCTGGGTTCCCAAGGGCGGGACACGGGACGGGTCAGACCCCTTAGGCGCCCATCGGGGGACAGCCCCGCTAACCAAGTCTGTTGTCCCCGCAGCGGCGCCCGTTGTCGGTGAGCTGCGCTGCCAGTGCTTGAAGACCTTGCAGGGGATTCCCTTCAAGAACATCCAGAGTGTGAAGGTGACACCCCCGGGACCCCACTGCGACCGAACCGAAGTCATGTAAGTGCTGCCTTGCTCGCGCTGCTGCTGCTAACAGCCCTGTCACCTCCACCGTCCCGAAGCCCCCACCCTGACCTCCAGCCCCACCTCCTGCCTCACGTGGAATCTCCCTTCTCTCTGCAGAGCCACGTTCAAGAATGGCCTGGAAGCTTGTCTCAACCCCGCAGCCCCCATGGTTAAGATAATCATCAATAAGATGCTAAACAGGTGAGTTATGTGACTAGAATCATTAGCATCTGCTCCTGAGAAATTATATCAGGGAAACCCAGGGTGTAGCTGAAGGAGCGAAAAGTCATTATTTCACAATTAGATTTGTCATCAAGATCATTACTCTGTGCTGGTCCAGAAGGATATTTCCTGTACCCTCCATCCCCATCCCATTCAGATGAATGTGGGTGAAGCTGCCTTCACTAAAATTCTCATTGGCGTTGACCAGTTACTGTAAAAAAGCTTTTCACTTGTTAAAGAACACAGGCATCCCCCCAGCCCCTCCATTTCCCTCTAGACTGCATACCTTAAAAGCAGACCCCTTAGTTCTCTGCAACATGGGCCCTAAAGCTTAGTGGTGAAGAGCAGGGGCTTTGCAGTGATACCACACTGGGTGCACCTCTGGGTCCCACCACCTCTTAACCATGTCACTCAAGGACAATTGTTTGGCTCAGTAAAACGGAAAACAGTAGTAACTACTACCCAGGGCTGCTATGAGGCTGATGTGAGACCAGTGTGACAGATAATCAGCTGTCACTTCCCTTGGCTCTTATCTACCCAAGAGGTTCTGGCTGTATGTAGCCAATAATTCAGGAGAGACCAGAGATACCCCCATACCCCCCATTCCTGAACAAGAGCATCCCATAGCCTAGAGGTCTCTGCCACATAGTCCAGAAGTAACCACTTGGTGCCAGGCTGGGAAAACTAGATTCAGAAAATTCTGGGACCTAGAGGGCAGGACAGAAGAGTGCTGTGCAGCCAGCTTTCCTGAGCAGCTACTAAAGACAACCTTTTTCTCATTATAGGGGCAGCGCCAACCGACCAGAGGAAGCAGGAAGTGATCGATGACTGCACTTGAAGCAGGCCCTGCTCTTACAGAAATCAAGAGGAATCATCAGCTCTCAAGGCCACCCGGACTGGGCTTCATGTTTGAGCATCCCTTCCAGGAGAGTTCTACTTATGTATTTATTTATTTATTGGTTGATTTTCTAAGATTCTGTGTTAATATTTTACATGTAGAATTATTAAGTATGTGATTAACTCTACTTGTGCACCATATTCTTATTTTTATCATTTATTTTATGTCAAACCCAAGTTAGTTCAGTTTTGATTCTTATTTAATTTGAAGGTAAAATGTTTGCAAATATTCTCTAGTCATTAAATTAATATTTCCGAGGAGCCCACAGAATGCCAGCCGCTATGACAGAGACTGGGGGATCCAAGCAAATAGTGGGATCATTGTCAGGGTAGGAAATGCACGTGTACATTTATTTTTGTAACTGTTTAAAAGAATGTTAGTTGTTATTTTTTGGAACAATTTCACAGTATGTGGTCAACATTTCTCATGTTGAAGCTTTAAGAACTACAATGTTCTAACTATCCTTTGGACATTTTATGTCTTTCTTGTAAGGCATAATGCCTTGTTTAGTGTTAATTATGCAATGTTTGTATCTTAGAGCAGAGAGAATTAAATATTTATTGATGTTTTTGCAAAAAAACATGAAAATAAAGTATTTCAAAATAAAAAATGTTTTTTTCATTTTCTGGAAAAAAATAAGTGACTATCTGTACTGGATAACCTGATAATTTACATCAGTGTTTCTCAACATTTTTTTCCTCCTGGGCATTGCATTGACTACACATATAAGTCAAACTACAGCTACGCTTAACTTCATGTGGCAATACCTATCACTTCCCTTGGCCCTCACCTCCCCATGAATGCACTTTTCCAAACTGGGCTGTCCCCCTTTCCCTTCAGTGGGAGAGCCACTGATACACAGTGCTGTGTTTTGTTTTTTTTAAGGAACTCCTTGCTACCTTGCTACTCAAGTTTATCTCTTTAAAAACATTTACATGTTTATGATTATCTTAACAAAGACTCTCATTTAACAAGGACTCTCATTTCATTGTTTTTGCTAAATGGTTTTCAAATAATTGTTGACAGTTTAATGAAACAGACAGTGAAACAGTGGTAAAGTGGATTTTTTTTCTTCACAACTCAAATAATTTGTATCATCAATAGAAGCAGAAAAAGTGAATAGCTGAGTACTTCACCTGTGAAAAGATACCATTTATTTTAGGTTGAATTTTCTAAACTTCGTTTCTAAGAAACTACCTTAAGTTTCATGTTATCCCAGTCCTTTGTACCAGTTCATCAAATACAATGGCTTTCAGATTTGAGTGCATTAGTTCCCATTTTTCCTAGTGCAATTTTGATGGAATCTGATAGGTTATTTAGTTTGAGACAGTCTTCTGGAACTTGATATTCAACGCTACTCCAGGGATGACAGCAGCACTTGAGGTTTCCAAGACAAACAGAATTGGTTATGTCAAGGAAGGAAAGATCTCTATAATCTAAAAGAAACCACACTCCAAACCTGAAAAGAAGGATCATTGGTGGATGTGTGGGGTGTGTGCTTGTCTCTGACTCAGGAGTCATTTAGGAAATCCTGAGCCCTAGGTTAAAGCCGTCTGCAGAGGCAAGAAGGTGGGACTGGCAGCTTAAGTACCTGAGATCAAGTTCTGGCTTGCCCTAAGTAGCTGGGTAAATAAGGGCTCTCAGGAGCAAGAAACAACCTCTGTGAGCTTTGTATTTGCACTTAAAAGTTAATCATAAGACTCTCTTCATAACTCCAATGTTATTCATTATAAGTTAGATAAGAAGGAAGAAAAATTTGTGAGCTGTATAGAAGTAAATAAATGAAAACCATTCTAGAAACTCCGTAAATGCTAGCATTCATTCCCCAACCCCAAGTCAAAAGACATTAGAAAATATTTACAAGTAGGACCCCAAGGACTCAATAAAGCCCTCACTCCTAAGACCAGTCCTCACACTCAAATATTGTCTTGAGCTTGCTGTACTGGCCACTTAGCTCTTGTCAATATGGAACACAGAGCATAAAAAGTAGAAAGATGCTTCTGTTCATATGGTGGTTAAAGACATAGGTTTCAAAGAATTAGATAAGCTTTGTAGTAAATTCCAGCTCTGTCACTTGTTGACTGTGTGATCTTGACTTCACCTAACCTCACTTCCCCTTCTATAGAATGAAGATAATAACAGAATATACTTTCTGAAGTTGTTGTAGGGATGGCTTCAGAAATCTTCCATTGGTCCTCAGACTAACTCCATGGATATTGTCTCAGTGTCAGTCCTGATTCAAATGGATACCGTGTTTCCCTGAAAATAAGACCTAGCCAGAGAAGAAGCCCTAGCATGATTCCTTCAGAATATGGAGGGCATGCACCACTCACGTGAGGGTTTTATGACCTGTTTCAGGGAGAAGGGTACTTTTCCATAAACCCCTTCAGCTTAAAATATTCAGTATGCCAAGGTGCCATATTGTGGCACCTAAAGTCATGCTATGGCTTATTTTCTGGCTAGGTCTTATTTTTGGGGAAACAGCGTAGGAAGTGCAGTTTTCATACCAAATTGCACTGAGACTTTGCAAGTACAAAGCAGGCTCTTATTGAGAGTGTTATGGCAGGGAATGGGACACAGGTTGTGTGAGGTGGTGGTCATGGGGTAAAGGAAGTGAGAAAAGAATATTATGTGACACATCACAACATCAGAAGACATTAGCAGGAAAGAGAAATGACAACAATGACTGAGGTTTCTTGAACAGTGTTACCAAAGGAGCTAGAGTCAGAAAGGTGGAAATATGGCTGACCCTATTCTGTTCTTGTGAGTCCTTCCTTGTGTGATGCTGGCTGGGCCTCATGTCGCTATCAAATGAGCTCTGCTCTCTTGTTATGGTAGCAACAGCATTTCAAGAAGATAAGAGTGGAAGCTCCTAGGCTATTTGCATTTTTGACCTGGTGTATCCATATCACTTCTTCCACATCATGTTGGCCAAAGCAATTCATAAGGTCAGCAGAGAATCAAGGGGTGTGGGAAACAGATTTGACACCTTGATGTTAGGACTTGCTAAGAATTTGTGGCTATTTTTAACCTTTCACAATTATTTAATCTTCCTGAGATATTCAGTATCCTCACCTTTGAGATAGAAACATCCCTTGTAAGGTTTCCAGATAACATACAAAAAGTTCATAAAGATGTGTTGACACAAAGCAGAACTCAATAGATGATCCTTGCTATTATCATATTACATCATATCTCTGTTAGTGTAGATAAATATTCTGAACAATGAAACAAGATTACAACAAAAAATTGGATTTTTGTTTGTTTGTTTTGTTTTTTAGTAACTTGCATGCTTGTATAGATCTCAGGCTGTGTTGAAATTTCAATTAATAAAATAGATTGTCTATAAAACCTTAGATGTTGTCAATCTGAGTATTTTAAACAATCTAGATCTCACTGTGAATTAATTGTGCTCTAGATCTGGCATAGATTTTAGTAGGTCTAGAATTAGAGACCCATAGTTGATAAGGAAGATCCATGGATCTTTTATCACCATCTGTTCAACCAACTCCTTAACAACTTTCATGACATCTTAAGCTTCTCTTTAAAAGCTTTGAGAAAATAAATTATTTTGTGTCTTTCAGCATTTGGTTGTCTTATCTTTGTATACTTCCTTATTCTCATCATAATATCTATACAGGTTGATAACATGACATTTCATGACCTCTACTTGGTACAGAAGGAAAATGTCAATTATGTATGAATAGTGTTTCTAACCTATTTGCAGTTTTCTGATTTGTGTAAAGGCCAAGATCTGATCAATTAATTGAATGTTGACAAGTTTTTAAAACTTACCTCATTTTGAGATTGAAATAACTTCCCCCCCTTCTTTAAAATGCCAAGACCCTTGCCTTCATGTGTCGGGTTGCTATAACAAAATACCATGAACTGGGTGGCTTATAAACAACAGAAATTGATTTCTCACAGTTCTGGAGGCTGGAAGATCAGGAAACCATCATGGTCACATGAGGGTCTTCCTCTGGGCTGCAGACTAGTCCTTGTGTCCTCATGTGGCATAAGGGGCAAAGGAGCTCTGTGATGTTTCTTTTATAAGGAACTAATCCCATTCATGAGGGTCCCACCCTCATGATCTAATCACCTCCTAAAACCCTCCCCCCCAAAAAAAACCATCATATTGGGGGTTAAGTTTCCAAAATGTGAATTTGGGGGGGGGGACACTGTTCTTGACAGGACAAGGGTTATTGTAGTCTGAAATTCAGCTTCTTTGTAGGTTACCCATGCTGTAAGTGTATTTAGAGCTTGGCAGATTCTATCATGACCTTGAGTGGATTATGCAAATAGGCACAAAAGCCAAACGCAAATACTTGCTAAGGAAAACCATCTTAATTTCCTACTTTGCACAAATATGACCTTTAAAAAGATTTATAGAAGTTCTATGACTCCATTCTGTGAGTCATCATCAAATGCAACTGGCACTGAACCCTTCTCAATTATGAAGATTCACTCCCCAAGAAAGAATAGGTTCATTTCTCTAGTCAACAAATGTACCTCATCCTGTCCCAACCCCCAACTTAAACAAAGCTTGAAAAACAAACCCAGCTTCCTTATTGGCTTGTAAGTGACAAACATGTCACTTGATAAGCTGACCTTTCCTTTTTCAGTGGGGAGAGAGCACAAGAACAACAACTTCTCAGGGTTACAGAGAGCACATAAAAGAGGCTCCAGTGTTAATTCCACCATTCAGACAAGGATCAAGGTCAAGTATAGACATGGCTGATGAGAGCTCACAAACACTCCTCCTGCTGGCTGTCCTTGTCCTGAGCATCTTTGGTAAACCAACTATTGCTTTTGTCTTTTCCTCCTAGGCCCTGGAAAAAATAGAAAAGATTCCAGATCTAATGAGATTGTATTTGGCATTAGGCAAAATGTAGAAATGGTGAAATCAATACCTAAGCAGAACATATATTTAGATTGTAGAGGAGTGTCAAAAAATTCCTTTTTAATTTTTAAATATCTGTTTACTTCCAAGAAATATCTGATTGTCAGTGTCTGTGCTTTTCTTATTAGAGAAGATAGTGGGAACATTACTGCAAATAAGTTTATGGTGTTTATTTTAATGGTGGTAGGCTGATAGAAATCATCACCTTCAACTGATAGAATTCACACAAAATTTTTACGTTTATAACTTTTCATAAAAGGAAATCAAGTTGGCTTTACTGTTACATAAGTTACTTTATTGACCATCCATACTTTGAAGCAATGAATTATTGAGCTAGTGTAATTACCAGTTTCCCAAACAGTAAATGCTCAATAAATGTTCATTGGTCATCATAATAGCAGATGATTAGATTTGCGTGACGGTCTCCCTACATATTTCTATCAGTACTTATTTTTTGTGTTGAGTGCCCTGCTGCACTAATTTCAGATTTCAGGTGATAAATTAAGCATCACTGTTGTCTTGTTCTTGCTCAGGGTTTTGCTTTTTTTTCTCACACAGCTGATCCCTGTGAGAGCCAAGAGTTGCGATGTCAATGTATTCAGACCTATTCTGACTTTATTCCTCCCAAGTTCATTACAAATGTTCAGTTGATACCTGAAGGTGCCTACTGCAGCA